ATATGCGTTCAGTCAGTCAGTTCTCATCATCGTATGTGTCAAGAAATTCTTATCATTCACAGGAGACTAAGAGAAGAAAAGATCAGGAAGAATCAGCTCGTAATAGACCAACATTTCCATTCTGCTTTGTTGTTTTCTTCTTTATTTTTTATTTTAGAGTCCTTTAAAAGTCCATTTAACTTTGTATGCTCGGGTACCTTTGACGAGCCTCCACGAGAACAAATAAATAGGGCCAATGAAAATGAGGTAAAAAAAAAAGAAGTTCTCTTGCTTCCTTCCTTCACGTGCCAACGTGGCATCCTTATTTAAGGGAAAGTGATTATTCCCTTCCGGCAAAAAAGTAACGAATTAAACACTCACATTCACGTCACAAAGAAATAAAAAAAAAAAATCCGTAACTGAATGGTTTTATTGCAAAATTCATTCTTGAGATTAGCTTCAAAATGTCCGCCCATCACAATCTAAAATAGCGGGCTTTTACGAGAATTGAATTTAAACGTTAACTGTTGATCCAGAACGATTGCGTTTCTATTATCCACTCATTCATTTCAAATCCTTTTTCGGCATTATTCTGATAGCTGAGATTTCACAGAGGCCTGCGGTCATATTTATGTTTATTTATTAAAAAAAAAGTCCGACGATACATATATAAAAGTAAAAAAATGTTTTGGATTTTCGTCTGGTATCATAATACCAATTCATATGTATACGAGATATTCAGAAATGTTTTATAACTGAAATTTGACAAATGCGATTTTCTTTTCAGTACAAGACAAGACTTCGCGAACCTCTCACTGCTTTATCGCTACTGCCACGGGGAATGTCCAGATGAACTACAATCCTTGCTTCTATCAGTCCTGACCTTTATGCATCAGTCTCGCCATGCTACATACATTTTAGCGAACCAGCATCATCCCATTCGTGTTCCCTCAGTAAGATATAAGTTCCACTGAAGCAGCTTCTTTCCACAGACCCCTGCCTTGTGAAAACGTCTCCTAAGAGACTTCTCTAATCACTACAATCTTAACCTGTTCAAATCTAGGGTTAAGCGTTATGCTCCATAAATATCCGCATAAACTGTGACTCTTATCTGTAACCCTCTAGCTCAAGTGGCTCTTGGGTCTTGTACAGGATGGACACCACTGTAAAAATAAAATTTAATATACAACGTAAATCTAAATTAAATAACAGTATTCTCACATTCTTTTAGTCCGAAAAATATTTTATCAAAACGTTTGATTCAAATTATTATTTTTATTTTTATCAAGCTACCTCATTTCGGCGAAAAAGTGACTGGAGTCGAGATGCCTGGTAAGGATTGATTTCATTCCAGACCTTTCTTAGAATTTTGCCAAGAATATTGAGATATACTGTGGAGTAATGGATAGCGGCTCGGATTGAAGAATCGGAGAGCCGAGTTCGAATTCCAGTCGAATCCATTACATTCACTTCACGTGCTAATACCCTTGGAAAAGGTATGAATCCTCTTCTAAGCTATGGGCAAATAGCAGGACAGACCGGGTTCTTTAGCGTTGGATGGCAACTGGTCTACCGTAGAAGGAAATGGCAACTTACTGCGGGAAAATAAATCTGTCTCGAATTGCCTATATCGAAAGTCGTGTATCACACATGGCACATGGCTGACAACAGAAGCATCTTGCCAAATATTTAGATTTATGGTCTTATTTGATGACATTAAATGAAATTAAATATAAATAAAAAGTAGACTAGAAATATAAAAAGGAAATGATTGTCTTATTTGATGACATAATGATTTAGTTATAATGTCTTTGTTTCATGCATCTTGTCCATATACAATTTGTAAGCTTCAGTAAATTATAAATTTAATAGGCCTGTGCTATAAAGCTTTCACTGATCATAGCAACGATATCCCAACGCTACGATTTTGAACATAAACTTAATCTTTAAACTCATTTCCTCAAAAAAAAAAAAAATGGTAACGTTTTGGAAAAAAAAAAACATTTGTGTCGTTATTTATCATATCAAACTTCAACTTTCAAATTGAGTGCAATACCACGGTTCCAAAAATGACCAAGCATTATAATATTTTGTATTCGCTGGTGTAATGGCTATCAAGCTTGTCTCGCCAGAACAGTTACGCTGAGTGTATTGGGATAGCCAAAGACGCGTTCTAGGCAGAGTATTACGAAACAGGATTTCTTTGGGAACAAAAAAAAGTGTACTGAACTGATACGTGATATCTGTCTTCCTTTACAGCAGCGAATGTTAAACGGTCTCGTCAAAGATGAAGAAGAGACTCGACCCAATGGAGGCATGATTTTACAGAAGGATGCTAAGGATATCATGGACCAAGCAACGATGAGGTTTTGGATAGGATGCAAACAAGGAGGAAGCTTATACTTAACACCAGGAAGAGGCAGCTGAAATTTCTGGGTTACGTAATGAAAAAGAAGGGCTTGGAAAATCTGATACTCACGGGTCGAATAGAGGGAAAAAGAAAACAAGGGAAAGTGTTGCATTCCTTCTAAAGAATCTATGTTGGACTCTTCCGCCGACTATAAAATTAGTAGGATAGAAGACCTTGGGGGAATAGTCGCCTAGATTGTTCAAATGTCAAACTCTCTGCCTCGGCAGAGAGGAACTCGGACAAGGCTTTGCAGCAGGGCAATGTTTTGTCCGGGGATGTAGACAGTCCCTGAACTCGTCTAGGTGGGTAAAAAGGAATATTTTTGGCCGATCCTACGGTCTCAGAGAAACCCACGTTAAACTCGGCCTTGTGCCACATACATTCCTTGTGGGGGGACTGTTAAATATAACCGTCGCCTAGATTGTTTATCTGTCAAACTCTCTGATTTGAGCCGAGAAGAACCCGGAGAGAGGCTTTGCCGAAGTGTAAAGTTTCGTCCGGGGAGTTAGATAGGCCCTGAACCCGTTTATACAGGTTGTAAGGGAATATTTTTGAGCGAGCCTACGGGCTCGGAGAGTCCGTGATAAACTCGGCCTTGTGCCACATACATCCCTCGTGGTGGGGTGGTGGGGTGGCTGTTAAATATAACAGTCGACCAGATTGTTCGGAACTGTCGAACTCTCTGCCTTGAGGAGAGAGGAACCTGGAGGAAGCTTTGCCTAAGGGTAAAGTTTCGACTGGAGAGGTAGACAGACCCTGAACCCGTTTATACGAGTTCTAAGGGAATATTTTTGGCCGAAGCCTGCGGGCTCAGAAAACCCACTGTAAACTCGGCCTTGGGCCACATACATCCCTCGTGGTGGTGGGGGGGCTGCTAAATATTAACAATCGAATAGATTGAACACTGGGTTAACCGACCCACACTCACTATTCGTGTAATACTCTTCTGTCGTACTTACTGATTAATATATGATATGTCTGCAACTCTTGTTTTCTTTTTTCTTTAACCATTTACTTGGTCCCCACATCTTGGCGACGAAGGATTCGAAGAAACGAACTTCAAGTTAAATCATAAAAAATATTTTTGCCAGTGTCTACAACAGTGGCGAAGAAAGGAATGCTAATCAAACTCTACGACAAAAGGGTATACAGTATTAATTGCAAACACTGAGAGTATAAAAAGAAACCCTTAAAAGCAATAGGATTTCTACAAGTTCAATTCAGTGGTTGGGAAGAAGTTTGGTGAACCTTGTTATTTTTTTCCATTCCAACAAAGACTCTTTAGAGGGAGGACACCAGAACAGAAAGTAACGCATGACATACCTGGCGGGGTTAAGCAAGTGGGTGACAGAACATAGCCTGGAGTAAGTAGCATAGGGACAAAACTTATTGGAGCTACTAGTGATAGGGGGAAGTGGAGAGCCGTGATCGCCTACGCCCTGAAGGGACACAGCACATAAAAAGAAAAAAGAGAGTTCGTTTCTCACTAGGTGCTCCATACTTTCAGACTTTCACGCTTAGGAAATCACTATTCTAGAATGTCTGATTTGGCCGGAGAACTTTTCACCACCTCTTCGTATATATCTTTCTCTTTCTTTATCTCTCACTCTCTCTCTCTAACTTTCGTTTCAACCTTCTACAATTTCTCTCTCTCTTTTTCTCTTTCTCTCTTCTTAACTCTCTCTGTCTCTCTAAACTTCGCTTTAACCTTCTACTATTTCTCCTCTCTTTTTCTCTTTCCCTTCTTTTTAACTCTCTCTCTCTCTAACGTTCTCTTTAACCTTCTATTACTTCTCTCTCTCTTCTCTTTCTCTCTATTTTTCTCTCTCTCTAACCTTCGCATTAACCTTCTACTACTTCTCTCTCTCTCTTTTTCTCTTTCTCTCTCTTTATTTCTCTAACGTTCGCTTTAACCTTCTACTACTCTCTCTTTTTCTCTTTCTCTCTCTTTATCCCTCTCTCTCTCTAACCTTTGCTTTACCCTTCTACCACATCTCTCTCTTTTTCTCTTTCTCTCTCTCTCTCTCTCTCTATATATATATATATATATATATATATATATAGAGAGAGAGAGAGAGAGATAGAGAGAGAGAGAGAGAGTACAAAGTGAGATGGATAAAGTGAGAAAGAGATGTTAAATGTGTGTTTGTTATTTAATCTTGAGAATTCAGAATATATCGATAAAATTTTCTGAATCTACGATTTCTTCGCGACAATTGCCACCTGGAGCTGAGCATCGTGGCAAGACAGATATATTTTTGGGTGTGATTGTGTCATTCAACAATTGACGATACCCTCTACACACCCCTCCCACACCCCGAACAGTCATCTACGCTCTCTTTGCAAGCTTAGTTGCGTGAGCTGAAGTCACGATACGCCCACTTTGTTAGCATTCACTAGTGCCTATAAATTGTTGTTATCGATAATACATTTGCACAGCACTTGAGATATTTTCTTCTTGTATTTTCCTGACTTGACGGGAGGTAGATGTGCACAACACAGATTAACTTACGTGGAGGATTTCTGAACGTGCCACAAGAATAAAAAAATAAATAAAAGAGAAATGGCAAGAAACAGTAAAAATATATCAAACTATTTACTAACGGATCACATGGCGATGATTTTTTTCTTTCTCTTTTGTCTGCTGCTTTCTTACTTTCTTTTTTTTCTCCATTTTCTTTCTTTCTTTCTTTCTTTCTTTCTTTCTTTCTGTCTCAGTCTGTCTCAGCTTGCTTTTTGTAGTTCTCTTCGCTACGTCCTTTCTTTCTGGTCATTCAATATAAATTAAACCTCCAAGAAATCAATTTAATTTTACTTGTTTCATTAACATATGAAACTTGCTTGCATTCTTTCTTTCTGTCTTTCTTTCTTTCTTCCTTTTTCTCTTTCTTTCTTTCTTTCTTTCTCAGTTTTTGTTCGCTTTTGTCGTTCTTTTCCCTACGTCACTATTTCCTGTCGAAAATTCTTTCTGGTCATTCAGGTTAAAAATTACACTTCATTAACATATGAAACTTTTGTTCTTTCTTTCTTTCTTTCTTTCTTTCTTTCTTTCTTTCTTTCTTTCTTTTTCTTTCTTTCTTTCTTTTTTTTTTCTTTTTTTGTTTTTTTGTGGTTCTTTTTACCCTGCCGAAAATTCGTCACTATTTTTCTGCCGAAAATTCTTTTTCTTTCTCATTCAGTTTTCTTTCTTTCTTTTTTTTGTTTTGCTTAAACCTCCAAGAAATCAATTTAATTTTTCCCTTTTCATTTAAAATTAAACCTCCAAGCTTTCTTTATGAAGCTTTCTTTCTTTCTTTCTTTCTTTCTTTCTTTCTTTCTTTCTTTTCTATATCTCATTTCTACATCTTTGTTCGTTCTTTCTTTATTCAATTTTCATTTTAAAGCGTCTTTTATTCAAACATTCTTTTCTTATTTCTTTTTTTAATTTGATATTAATCTTCTTTCTGTTTACAGTCAGCCATTATGTATTCTTTTCTTGACATATTTTTGCTTTCCATCTATTTTTCTTTAATAGTGATTTTTTCTTTCTTTCGCGATTTCTTTCTTTCTCTCTCTTTCTTTCTTTTTTTCTTTATTCTCTCATTTTGCTGGGATTTCTTTATTTTATTTTTCATTGAAATTTCATTTATCCTAAATTTAGTTTTTGTTTGTTCCATTGAAATTTTTATCTTTTCAAAATATCAGGCCATTTCTTTCTTTCTTTCTTTCTTTCTTTCTTTCTTTCTTTCTTTCTTTCTTTCTTTCTTTCTTTCTTTCTTTTTTCTACATCTCCTTTCAACTTGTTGATTTTACTATTATTTTTACACTCTTTAAATAAATCCATCTCTTTTTTCCTTCTGGATTTTTAACGTCACCCACCGCAATTTTGCCTCCTCACCTTCCGTTGCTGTCTTTCAATGGCTGTTTGCTTTACCTTTTTCTATTTTTGTTTTTTCTTTCTTCATTTCGGGCCATATTTCATTCTATTTCTTCTTTCTTTTTTTGTTTTTAATTCCTCTATTTTCAACTTCATTTCAATCCAGTCCCTTTTCTTTTGCCTTACGTCCTTATTTTGCGTTAGGACGTTATTTGATACTTAATGACATGGTATCATGTGTTTTTGGCAAGCTCCTATGGCCGGACACGCTCATTACCTTTATTGCTTAGTTGGCAACAGATTGTTGGAAACAATAACAAATCACAAGCCTATCACATGAACGGCCGACCAAGCGGGGAGAGAGCTTCATGCTCGGAAGCTCATGTTCGCTATATAGTCTAATGTAACACAAACACACACACACACACATATATATATATATATATATATATAGATAGATAGATAGAAAGATAGATAGATAGATAGATAGATAGATAGATAGATAGATAGATAGATAGATAGATAGATAGATAGATATTTTTTCATGAGTTCATATACAAATCAACCTAGATGTTGACAGGGTCGCCAGGGAGTTCGTTGTCACGCAATGACCTTCCAACTTTCCATACAAAACTCAGTGTACGTTGCCACATCAGTAAACCTTACGTGTTTTTACGGTTGACGAACTCTTACACGGTTTTGATTACGACATCAATCCTCTTTAGGGTTTTGAGATTTATATCATATTGAATGAGAATGCCAAAGATAGGTTCAATCCTGCATTAATCTTTTTTAATTATTAATTTTGGACAAGTGCTTCTTTTATCAGAAAATGTATCTCTGTTACCCGGGAAGTTTCATTTTTGTGCTTGACCCGCGCTGCTTATCAAGTATCATGTAATAATAGTTGCGATAAAGGCAAAAAAAATCAAAACAAAAAAAACAAAAAAACAACAGAAATTGAGATGCTAGTTAAAAATTAATAAATGACGTGGTTTCGATTGAGAAATTCAAATAGCAATATAACTACATTTCATAAAAAAACAGTATTAAGGTAAGGCACGTCAGCGTAAATGACGGTTCCGTATAGGATGCAGGTTCGAATCCTGTCAAAGAACGAATATTTTCTATGAAAATTTCTCGGACATTCAGGCCGGTAAATGTTATTTAATACTGTTTATTATAAACAGAGCATTTACTTAAATACTTGTATCTATAAAAAAGAACGTTAAACATAAAAATGTCTTTAATAAATATATATATATATATATATATATATATAAAACACCAGTTATTTTGCTTAGAGTAAAAAAAAATACAAGTGATATGTTTTTGTAAAAAAAAAAGAAAAAAATAGAATTTCCAACATTGTTGTAAAAGAAATGAATGCACCCAAGAAAATTAAATTTCTGCATTAAATGACCCATAAGGAGTTGATATGCCAACAATCAAACAAAGAAACAAAATCATTAAAAAGTTTGCAAATCAGTGCAGATTACTGCCAGATCGTTCGCCTGAAGATAGAATTAGTTTTGATTCATGGAAATAATGTAATTTAACTCCCGCCGATAGATGCTGTTTGCCTATCCAAACTCTTAAAGAAAGTTTGATATAGTCCCCTATTCGTGTAGGCCACCCCAAGCATACATACAGACAGTGTCAGAAATTTTTGAGTTTCCTTTTGGGTACGTCTAAGTCCCGTTTAAGTGCAATGGGTCATTTGTTGCCTGTGGGGACGGCTTCCTGTTAATGATCTTTGCTGAATTTCTACCTTAAGACTGAAAAGGTGTGAAAATTGACTAAGTTTAGCGTACATTTGGCACAAGTATTGGTCATCTAATAAGAATCGAACTCACATAATCACTAGACAACTTGACTAATTCACTAAACAATACCACGCAATGAGACGCCGATCATAAAAATGCTGCCACACAAATTTTTGTAAAATATTTGTACGACAATTAGATAGAATTGTTCTCCTTCCTGCTGAGACTAATTAGTATTCACTAAGAATAGCTTAGTTTGTTACAAGCTCACAAGTAGTCATCACCAAGAGAGAATATAATTCGCTTTGTGGTGTAAAGGATAACAGCGCCGAAAGAACCAATCGAGTTCGAATTCCAGTCTCGTTTGTTGAATTCACTTACGCGCAAATAACATTGGTAAAGGTATAAATCCATTTCTTTTCTGTCCCAGCTATGGGTTAAATGATCGGTAAGACTGGGCCCTATAACATTGATTGGCAACAAGTCTACCACAGAAAAAAATCGGCTACCTACTGTGGGAAAATTTTCTACTTAGACATGAATCTATAGACATGTCCGCGCAAGCGTTTATAACGTATTAATTTTTTTTTGGCACTAAAGTTCGCCTTGTACAAGTGCCGGTGGCCACTCAAGTTAGAAGGTTACGTAAAGAGGCAATTTTTGCGGATAAGAGGGGAAGGTAACAATCAACTCTAGACTTGGTTAAGATTGTAGTGATCGGGGAAACATCCTCGTGGGAGTCTGTTCCCCAGAGCAGTGTTTCGTGGGAAGTAGAACTTAATTCTCACTGATGGAATGCAGAGCGAATGTGTATTGTTTACTAATATGTATGTGGCATGGCGCGTGCTCGTCATGAAATTTTGAACAGGCAGAACCAGGGAAGTAGTGACAGAGCACCGAGAAGCTTGTCACATTTCGCCTCTCTCTCTCTCTCTCTCTCTCTCTCTCTCAGTGTGTGTGTGTGTGTGCGCGTGTGTGTGAGAGAGAGAGAGAGTGTGTGAGAGAGAGGTGGAGGTGTGGACAATAATTTATCACCCATAAGGGATCAGTGACGCATTTGGACAAAGAAGTCAGCTCCCGTCCAATTATGACAACAGTATTTCATTTTTAGCCTGATTTTGCTCTTGTAAATATCGAGTATAGTATGAAGTATCAGGTACCTACTGGGGCGGTAGAGGGATCCGATCATTTTACCTGCATCTTTAACAACTGATCGTATGTACGAGTTCCACTTGAGGTCAGGTGTGAGTTAAGACCCAGTTGTCTTTCAAGATGCAGTGCCTCCCCGATGGGAGATTCGTTCATCGTGACTGATGGTAGATCGGGTCCGATCGGTGAAGTGCATTACTTAATGGTCTACAAGCCCAGATTGTTGACCATTACACAACAATAAGGATTTCAATTCCGGTATTCATTATTATTATAATTATTATTATTTTTGTTTTTATGTTTTGCCTTTGCCTTGTATATGCTGCCCCTAATCCTCAGTCAGCGAGAATTCAATAAAGAACATGATTTTGTACCAGAAGATGCGAACAGTTCATCAACCAGGGAGACAAATATGTTAATACGGTCACTGCATGGAGTGAAATGTCTTTTTGTTTGTAATGTTCACCCTGTAAAAGGTCCGGGGGCCTCTCTGGGTAGAGGGTTACGTTAAGGGTTAGTTTATGCGTATAGTAGGGAAAGATAATGGTTAACGCTAGACTTGAATTAGTTAAGATTGTTATGATCGGAGAAACATTCTCTTGGGAGTCGGTTCCATAGGGCTGCGGATCGCGGGAAGAAGCTATTTGAGTGGAACCTATTTCCCACCGACGGAATATGGAGAGAATTAGGGTGATTCGCTACAATGTGGTGGTCATGGCGGGTCTAACGCAAAATGTCAGAAGTACTTATAAGTAAGAGTTTTTGCAATTCATATATATTTTAGGATAACCAGGAATTTGATCCACGGATTGAGTCGCTTATTTTTCATGTCATTCCCAAAGATCCAATAACAATAGGTGGTATGGTCTTGAGGTACCACTGATTTCTACGATCTTAAGGTAATTGTAATTACATTGAAAGATGTGTCTTTGTCGACTGGAGCTGTAAAATATTTCAGAAGATATTTTTTTGGAACATGGATCTGCACAAGATGACTTGGTGTACCATGTGAGCGTTAACTGCCCAAACTAGCAAGCAGTGCAGACGTGTCTTCTTTTCGGAAGGGATGACAAGCTCCTTGGACGATACCAGAAGGACATTGTCGTGAAGAAGGGAGGGATAATGTCAAAACGTAACATAAGCATTTCTTCTTAATCAGTAGAAAAAAGGGGTTCTATTTAAATTACATTTAATTTTTGATACGGCTTATATTCTTTCATATATATATATATATATATATATATATATATATATATATATATATATATATATTCATTCATTCATATATATATATATATTATGCCACTAATATTCATTCACATATATATATATTTATATATATATTATACAGTCAATATTCATATATATATTATACGGGCAATATTCATTCATATATATATATATATATATATATATATATATATATATATATATATATTATGCGGCAATATTTATTCATATATATATATATTACGGTCAATATTCATTCATATATATATATATATATATATATATATATATATATATATATATATATATATATATATACACCTAGTGAGCCAGAAACGAGTCTAGTTATCTCTCTCTCTCTCTCTCTATATATATATATATATATATATATATATATATATATATTATACGGCCAACATTCATATATATATATATTCTACATGTAAATTCTAGAAGACATTTTATGAAAATTTCCAAATAACGGAAGTGGGTGATATTTGCTTCGATAAATGTATTTCTGAATAAAAGTTTTTAGTAACACCGTGATTCCCCACCTGATGAGACGTTTAAAAAGGTTTTTCCTTTTTGACGTTGAAACAAAAATGTAAAATATGTAGTGGATATGTGCACATCCTAATGTAACACTGCATAATATATATATATATATATATATATATATATATATATATATATATAATTTAATGTTTATTGACTTAATTAAGATTCACTGTTTCAATTAAATATTAAATCAAATTAATTAATTGTCTGTCCCCGAAAAAAGAAAA